GGGAGAGGGTGTTTCCCTGCCCCCTTTTTCTAAATCAACATGGTGGTGAATCTACTTGATTGCGAGCTAATACCGCTAAAAAACACCTGCATTGCAGGCGAGAATGCTTCACGACAGACTAAAATGAAATTAAAATAAGGAAAATCAAATTTTACATAACATAATCAACTTCATTTTGATGATATCAAGGTGACCCAAAGCCGAAAAATTAGTTCAATTTCAATAACTGATCTTAAAACTACGAGAGAGATTTTAATACGATACAATATTATAAACAAACTTAAGCTTGTACATGTGGCACAACGTTTGAGAGTCAAGAAACTTTCGAAATGTACTTGACGCCAAATATCTTTGCCATGCAAACATTGATAAAAGTTTTTTTTAAATCATGCCGAGATTACTGAAAATTTCAGCTTGAATAAAATCAGTGATTTAAGACTTAAYCGTTAAATCGTACTAAGCTTAAACATGATCTTAAATATTAGCTYAAATCACGTTGAAGACAATTTAATTAATGGTAGAAAATCTGCTAATAATGCATCATGAGATTGGCGAACCAAAGCCTTTCCACTAAATTCTGGATTGAACTCAAAGACAAGACTTCTAGTGAATTCTAGTGAGCTGCAAACTAAAACCTTTCTTATTAAATTCTGTATTGATTTCAAACTGTCTGAAAGACTGCAGATTCTATAAAGACTACATAAGCTAATTATTAAGCTTTGCGTCTATAAGACTTCTTCGATCGATGCTATAGACCACTTACTTTTTCCTTGCCTTCACGTAAGAGGCTTCGTATGACATCCTTGAAGTAATTGTCATTCCAATCAATGAATCCAAAAGTTAAAGAAACTCTGACTTAAAAAAGTGGTATGCAAAGAAATAAATTTCCAGAATGAGCACTGTTTTGAACGACTGTCATGGCCGCGTATAGACAAAAGTCACGTGACTTATGTGATGATGCTATGGCAACGGGTAGAAGACGGAAATGGCGGGAAAACTGAAGGTGGGAAGCGGGAAGCGGGCCGGGAACCGGAAGCGCTTGCCTCGCAACCTCAAATCTTTTTTAAAAGCACAGTAATTGACAAACAATTAATCGTGCTAAAAATGTAGAGCTTCGGAATGTTCTCTTCAGTCCTCTTCTGCTGGAAACGTTTCGGAATAATCCTTTTTTGCAGGAATATACACTTTTACAATGGTTTCGAAGAGGTTATCAGTCATAAAGGCCGAGCTTTCGCTGAGATCAAACGCAAAAATTCAACTGCACTTCCGAGTTTTCGTGGCCTCGAAGTCAAAAATTACAGTGTTTGTATGGGAATCCGATGGAAAATAACTTTTCCAAAAATTGAATTTTACTCAATTTGTGAATCGCGACGTTACAATACTCAGTTTGAAGGATGTAGTCTGGTTGGAAGACGCTCGGTTGATTTTTCTCATTTTCCATACATTTGTCTGTAAATTTGACTTGGTAGACGCGGTTCGCGGGAAAAAAAATAAAGACCAATGTATGGGAAAATTAACTGAGCGTCTTCTAGCCCAGCTGCGTGCTTCAAATTTTGTGAATACAGTCAGCTACCTAGTATGGTAAAGTTGCGATTCATAAGTTGTGTCAAATCAATATTGAAATAAAGTTATTTGCCATCCGATTCCCATATATACCAACACCGTAATTTCTGACCGCTTTGCCTACCCGGCAAGCTAGATGGTGTCGAAAACTGTGATAAGGCCTATTACGAGCTAGAAAAACAAGCTGGATAACTATTAAATTCAGTGACTGTCTTAACTATTGGAAATGGGCTTGTTTACTGTTGTCACGCGATATCAATAGTTTCCCGCACTTTTCATATAAGCAAAAACCCACCTCCAATTCAACATGCCAAATTTAGTAAATATGCGAATTTTTGTAAGACTCTGTCGCAAACTGATGAAAATATGGGACCCCAAACTTGCATGCATTACTTTTTTTTTTAACAAAGAAATGTACGCCTGGAGACAAGCAGCAGTTTCCGCGCAAAAGAAGGCAGAAAGAGCACCTAATTGCTGCGCGTGCGCACGTTTGAGTGTTGATTTCCTTGCATTTTCGCGCATTTTACTTTAGTAAAACGA